CCCTGAAGACCTAAAGGCTGCCATCACCGGAGCCCTCCGCGCCTACTCCATAGTTTTTGCATGGGGGCCGGAGGATATGCCAGGAATTGACCGAAGGGTCATCACCCACCGCCTGGCGGTGGACCCTTCGGCCAAACCAGTGCAACATCGGAGAAGACCCCTCTCGGCCGAGAGAAGGGAGTTCGTGAAGAAGGAGGTAGCTATGCTCCTCTCCATCAAACACATCAAGGAGGTGAAATACCCTTCTTGGTTGGCAAATGTAGTCCTCGCACAAAAGCCTGGTAGATGAGACCGCGGGATTACACAGACTTGAATAAGGCGTGCCCTATGGACCCCTTCCCCTTGCCTAACATTGATCAACTGGTAGATGAGACCGCGGGATGCGAAATCATGTCATTCCTCGACGCATTCCGCGGATATCATCAAATCTACATGCATGAGGAAGACGCTGAAAAAACTGCCTTCATGACATCCGAAGGCATCTTCTGTTATCTTGTGGTGGCCTTCGGCCTCAAGAACTCAGGCGCCACCTACACCCGCATGGTGGCTAGGGTCTTTCAAGCTGTCCTGGGGCGCACCATGGAGGCCTACGTCGACGACATGATCGTCAAAAGCAAGAGGGCACACACTCACGCCGACGACCTCCGAGAGATCTTTGCCATCATGCAAAAGTTCAACCTCCGGCTAAATCCAAAGAAATGCACCTTCGGCGTACAGGGAGGAAAGTTCTTAGGCTACATGGTAAGCCGAAGGGGTATTGAGGCCAACCCCGAGAAAATTCAGGCCATCATCAACATGGAGCCTCCACGCAACGTCAAAGAAGTTCAACGGTTGACGGGCCGCCTGGCAGCCCTCAACCGTTTCCTCTCCAAGTCAGCCGAGAGGGCCCTCCCCTTCTTCCAAATCATGAGGAAGACAGCGGGTTTCCAATGGACATCTGAATGTCAGGAGGCCTTCGACGAACTTAAAAGACACCTCTCTTCGCCCCCGGTGCTCTCAAAACCGAAGGTAGGAGAAACCTTGTACTTGTACCTTGGCATTAGCCCCGCTGCCATCAGCTCAGTACTCATCCGGGAGGAAGATGACATCCAACATGCCATCTTCTACGTCAGCAAAACCCTCCGGGAGGCCGAACTCAGGTATTCTCCCGTCGAGAAGACGGTGCTAGCCATCGTTTGGACCGTCAAGAAGCTTGGCCACTACTTTCAAGCTCATCCGGTCCAAGTGCTCACACATCAACCCCTCGGCGCCCTCATGAGGAGTCCCACTAGCTCCTCTAGGATGGTGAAATGGGCCATCTTCCTTAGCCAATACAACATAGACATTCGTCCGAGGCCTGCCATTAAGGGCCAAGCCCTGGCAGACTTCGTGACGGAATGCACCGCGAGATTAGCGGTGGATGAAGAGCCTTCGGCACCCCTTGATGAGTGGTGGACCCTCTATACCGATGGCTCCTCGGCCACCAAAGCATGCGGAGGGGGAGTAGTTCTCATTACACCTGAGGGCTTCCGTGCCTATTATGCCATCCGCTTCTCCTTCAAAGTCTCCAACAACGAGGCCGAGTACGAAGCCCTCCTCTGCGGCCTTCGGCTGGCAGCAAATCTGAAGGCTAAAATGATCCACGTCAAGTGTGATTCCAAACTTGTCGTGGGTCAAATTTCCGGGGAGTACGAAGCCAAGGAAGGGAGGATGAAACAATACAAAGAAGCGACCAAGGAGTTGCTCAAGGTATTCGAAGCGCATTCTCTAACCCAAATACCGAGGGCTCAAAACTCCGAGGCCGACATTCTATCCAAGCTCTCGGATGAATCCCCCGAGCACCTCTCAAAAATTGCAAGAATTGAGGAACTCAGCCTCTCAAGCATTCACGCGAGCCCCGTCATGAACATTAACCTAAGGCCGGAGGATTGGATCTCCGACATCATCACCTTCATCACCACGGCGCAACTGCCCAAAGACGAGGCCCGCGCCAAGTTAGCAAAGCTGAGGGCTCCCAGCTATACCCTCGAGAATCGGAGGCTTTACAAAAGATCTTACAACGGCACCCTCCTTCGGTGCCTTCATCAAGATGAAGCCGAAGTCGCTATGGAGGAAGTGCACAGTGGCACTTGCTCAGCTCACCAGGGACCCTTCTCCATGTCCCGAAGGCTCATAGTTCAAGGCTACTTCTGGCCAAGATGGCTAGAGATTGTGCTGATCTAGCCTGAAGGTGCACCGCTTCCCAACACTTTCAGAAGGCCCCCGGCAGACCAGCGGTCAACTATGCCCCCATCAGCACCACTATACCCTTCTCCAGGTGGGGTATTGACTTAGTAGGCCCTCTGCCGAGGGGCACCTCCAACAACAGGTATATCATCGTGGCCATTGACTACTTCACCAAATGGGTAGAAGCCGAGCCCCTCGCCAGCATCACTGAAGCTCGGTGCCGCCACTTTGTTCTCAAAAATATTCTCACAAGGTTTGGCGTCCCCCAACAAATAATCTCCGACAACGGAACTCAATTCGAGGCAGCCCTCTTCTGTGCCCTCCTTGAGGCATGGGGCATCAAGCACACATTCTCATCTGTTGCCTACCCCCAAGGCAATGGACAAGTAGAGAATGCCAACCGCACCCTCCTCGAGGGGTTGAAGAAGAAACTGGAAGCCGAAGGGGGAGGCTGGGTAGAAGAACTCCACAACATTTTATGGGCCTACCGTACCACCCCTCGGCGCGCAACAGGTGAAACACCCTTCTTCCTATGCTATGGCTTCGAGGCTAAAGCTCCAACAGAAGTGACCCTTCCCACCCGAAGGGTGGAACAATATGAACCGGAAGTCAACGACGCCAATATGGCCCTCGACCTTCACCTCATCTCAGAACGCCGGGAGCAAGCCTTCATCAGATATGAAAACTATAGAAGACAAGTCAAAGGCTACATCGACGCCAAGGTCCGCTCCCGGGAATTTCAGGTGGGGGACTACGTCCTCCGACGAAGGGAGGCCAGCCTACCCACTGAAGGAGGAAAAATGGCGCCTAAGTTTGAGGGCCCCTACATCATCTCAGCCATCATCAAACCAGGGACATACAAGCTAAAACGCCCTAATGGGACGGAGGTCCCTAGATATTGGAATGTGCATCACCTTGTCAAATTCTATCAGTAAAACATGAGCGGCCAAGCCCTCATCCTCAACAAGTGTAAATATCAATGGCCCAAGGCCCCCTCTGTTTTGAAAGAATAATCGAAAGGCCAAGCCTTCATTACCTATATGTCACACAAGCGGCCCAAGGCCCCTATCTCTCCTGAAAATGAGTGGCCAAGCCCTCATCCCTTCGCCAAAACAGGCCCAAGGCCTCCTCCCCTCATAAGGAGGAACACCAATTAATCACCCGATTGAGGAGTTATGGGAAGATATCCTGGAGATCTCAGAATCTCTAAATATCCCCATATATCTTTTCTTTATTAGAGAACCTTAATTAGAAGGATTCCTTGATTTCCTTCCTTATTTTACTTTCTTCTCTGGCTATATATTATGTAGTCTTCTCCTTGTATTACACAGAACAACAATAATAATATACATTCTACTTTTCACGAGTTCTTTCTACATGGTATCAGAGCTGTGGTTATTCTCAATATGATTAAGTTTGGATCATATGGGATGACCACCGAGAGAGATGGATCTATCTCAGACACCTCTGAACATTCAGAGGCTGTCCCAACTAGAGATGGCAGCAACCAGAATATCAATGGAAGCACAGTCACCATCCCTAATCAATCAGATTCGATTATTACTTGCCATAAACTCAATGGTAGTAATTATCTACAATGGTCCCAGTCCGTTATGATGTACGTGTGTGGAAAAGACAAGGAGGACTATTTGACAGGTGATGCACCTGCTCCGGATCAAAGAGATCCAGGTTACAAGAAGTGGAAAAAGGAGAACTATACTGTGATGTCATGGCTCATCAATTCCATGACAACCAGTATAGGGGAAAATTTTCTACTCTACAAAACAACTCAAGAGATTTGGGAGGCTGTGAAAGAAACCTACTCAACCTCAGATAACACTTCTGAATTATTTGAGGTTGAATCAATGATATATAACCTTCAGCAGGGAGAATTGAGTGTAACTCAATACTTTAACAACCTTATGAGACTCTGGCAGCACCTTGATGTGTTTGAGACATATAGCTGGTCATGTTCTAAGGATAAGAAGTTATATCAGGAAATCTGTGAGAGGAAGAGAGTCTTCAAATTTCTGTCAGGCTTGGACAAGAGTCTAGATGAGGTTAGGGGGAGAATAATGGGAAAGAAATTCACCCTTAGAGAAGCTTTCTCAGAAGTCAGAAGAGAAGAAAGCAGAAAGAAGGTAATGATGGGCCTGAAATCTCAAGGCCAACAACCAAGCATTGAAGGTTCAGCCTTATATACTTCTTCCAGACAGAATGACAACAAGAAAAAGGGGAGGCCATGGTGTGATCACTGTAAGAAACCAGGCCATACTAAAGAAACATGCTGGATTCTGCATGGTAAACCCAAAGATTTCAAACCAGGCAAAGGGAAAGGAGCCTATGTAGCTACTGGAGATAAAGAAGATATGGGCACTTCTAACTCTGCTGCATTTACCAATGAGCAGATTGAGGTTCTTCAACACCTAATAAATCAGAACAAAGGGTCTACACCACCAACTAGCTTTACTGCCCAGACAGGTAATGCCTTAACAACCCTAGTTGCTCAAAGTCAGCCCCATTGGATTGTTGATTCAGGGGCATCAGACCATATGACTGGAGACAGTAAGTTTTTTGCTGATTTGATCCCTATGAAGAATAATGTGACTGTGAAGATTGCTGATGGAACTACTTCAGCAATAAAAGGGATTGGAAGAGTCAAAATTTCTGATATGATAGTGCTTAAAAATGTGTTATATGTTCCAGATTTAAAGTTTAACCTCTTATCAGTCAGTAAACTGAACAATGATTCCCATTGCCTAACTAAATTCTCTTCCCAATTGTGTGAATTTCAGGATTTGGATTCGGGGAGGATGATTGGCAGTGCTAAGCAAAGTGGTGGACTCTATCTTCTGGAACATTCACCACATTTACCAAATTCTACCAACAAGACAACTTCCAGTGAGAGTCAATTCAACCATAAATTCTTAGGGAGTCTTAGTAGAAGTCAATTTGATGATCAAATTCAGCTATGGCATTATCGTCTTGGTCATCCTAATGTCTTGTACTTGAAAAAATTATTTCCTTCATTATTCATCAATAAAAGTTCTATGTTTGATTGTGAATTTTGTCAACTTGCTAAACATACAAGAAGTCATTATCCCAGTCTACCTTACAAACCATCAAAACCATTTTCTCTCATCCACAGTGATGTTTGGGGGCCATCCAAGGTAAAAAATCTCTCTGGTTCAAAATGGTTTGTTCTGTTTATTGATGATCATACACGCTTAACCTGGGTCTTTCTCATGAAAGAAAAGTCAGAAGTCAATAGTATCTTTCAAAGATTCTATTCTATGATCAAAACTCAGTTTCAAACCAAGATTCAAGTTCTTAAAACTGATAATGCCAAAGAATATTTCTCATCCAACTTAGGAGAGTTTCTGTCAAAAAGGGGGATTATACACATTAGCTCCTGTGTTGACACCCCACAACAGAATGGGGTAGCAGAAAGGAAGAATAGACACTTACTGGAAGTTGCTCGAGCCCTTATGTTCACCACTCACACTCCTAAACACTACTGGGGAGAGGCTGTCCTAACTGCAGCTTATCTAATAAATAGGATGCCCTCCAAAATTCATCAGTTTAAAACTCCATACCAAATCCTATCTAATATACACCCTCACATCCCTCTTACCAATCTCCCACCAAAGGTCTTTGGTTGCAAAGCATTTGTTCACAACCATTCTCCACTTAGGTCAAAACTGGATCCCAAATCCTTACCTTGTGTGTTCATAGGGTATGGTGCCAACCAGAAAGGATATAAATGTTATTCTCCTACCACAAAAAAGGTCTACATCACAATGGATGTAACCTTTTTTGAAAATCAGCCTTTCTATGTCAAAACTGAATTTCAGGGGGAGAATCACAATGAAATCCAGTCTTTGAACCCTATTTCAGACACTATTCCAGACCTCCAAGAATCTGACTTTAACCACATTGAACCCATAATCCCAGACAAGCCTGAATCAATCCCTCTAGACAATACAGTCTCTCCATTAACCTCACCACTTCAGCCACCACCTTCATCCCCTCAAAACCTTACACTGAATCAAAATTCCACATTCTACAAAAATACCTACAAGAGGAAACCTAGAACCAAAGTTCCAGAAGATGAGCACATCACTCCAACTAGCACCACCCAATCATCTGACTCAAATCTAAATCCTGATGACAAAGAGGTTGAGGCTATAGAAGGAGATGAGGAGGAAGAGGACCTGCCTATTGCTATCAGAAAGGGAGTAAGGGAGTGTACCAAGCATCCTATCTATAATTTTCTTTGTTATAAGAAATTATCAGCAAACTATCAAACCTTTATTTCAAAGATTGATAGTATTCAGGTTCCTAGCAACATCAAGGAAGCCCTTGAACATCCAGGGTGGAGGAAGGCTGTCCATGATGAACTGGCAGCGTTGAAGAAGAATGGAACTTGGGTGCTTACAGATTTGCCAGCAGGGAAGAGGACTGTTGGCTGCAAGTGGGTATTTACAGTGAAATATCAGGCTGATGGCAAGATTGAGAGACTTAAGGCAAGACTGGTTGCTAAGGGGTTCACCCAAACTTATGGCATTGATTATTCAGAAACATTTGCACCAGTGGCAAAGTTGAACACCATTAGAGTATTGCTTTCACTCGCAGTGAACCTAGACTGGCCATTACATCAACTAGATGTTAAGAATGCTTTTCTTAATGGAGACCTAGAAGAGGAAGTATTCATGGATGTACCACCAGGGTTAGAAGACTTGGTGAAATCTGGCCAAGTTTGCAGACTGAAAAAGTCCTTGTATGGACTAAAGCAGTCTTCTAGAGCATGGTTTGATAGATTCACAAGATCAGTAATTAAACAAGGGTTCGTGCAATGTCAAGCAGACCATACATTATTTATAAAGAGGGCAGACTCTGGTAAAATAGCTATTCTTATAGTATATGTCGATGATATTATCATGACCGGGGACTTTAAAGCTGAATTGGACAGATTGAAGGCCCATCTAGCAAGAGAATTTGAAATCAAGGAGCTAGGCGAGTTGAAGTACTTCTTGGGAATGGAAGTGGCAAGATCTAAGAAGGGCATTTTCATTTCACAAAGGAAATATGTCCTAGACTTGCTAAGTGAAACTGGAATGCTTGGGTGCAAACCTCTAGACACTCCTATGGATATATCGAAGAAGTTAGGCAGTGAGATTGAAAGTCCACCAGTTGATAAGGGTAGATATCAAAGTCTGGTGGGAAAGCTAATCTATCTATCTCATACACGGCCAGACATTGCTTTCTCAGTAAGTGTGGTAAGTCAATTCATGAATGACCCAACTGAGGAACACTTAACTGCAGTCTACAGAATTCTGAAGTACCTGAAAATGACTCCTGGAAAAGGATTGTTGTTTCAGAAACAGGGGACTAGAAAGATTGAAGTATTTACTGATGCTGACTGGGCTGGTAGCCTCCTAGACAGAAGGTCAACTACTGGTTACTGTACTTATGTATGGGCTAACTTAGTCACCTGGAGGAGCAAAAAACAATCTGTAGTTTCTAGAAGTAGTGCAGAATCTGAGCTCAGGGCTTTAGCACAAGGAATTTGTGAAGGGTTATGGTTAAGAAGATTGATGAATGAGCTCAAACTTCCATTTGAAAGTTCCATCCAGATTTCATGTGATAATCAATCTGCTATCAGTATTGCTAAGAATCCTGTCCATCATGACAGGACCAAACACATTGAGATAGATAGAAGATTTTTGTCTGAGAAGATTGCAGCTAAGGATATCCAGCTAATCTATGTTCCAACCAGGCAACAAATAGCTGATATACTCACCAAGGCACTTCCCAGAATTCAGTTTGAAGACTTATCTAGCAAGCTGTGCATGGATGATATCCATCACCCAGCTTGAGGGGGAGTGTAGATTATTGCAGAGATTATCCTAATTAATCACCCGATTGAGGAGTTATGGGAAGATATCCTGGAGATCTCAGAATCTCTAAATATCCCCATATATCTTTTCTTTATTAGAGAACCTTAATTAGAAGGATTCCTTGATTTCCTTCCTTATTTTACTTTCTTCTTTGGCTATATATTATGTAGTCTTCTCCTTGTATTACACAGAACAACAATAATAATATACATTCTACTTTTCACGAGTTCTTTCTACAGGTACCAAGTACCAAGTGTATGGGTCACCCCCATCACTCTTTGAAAACACCAAGTGTTTTCTCACTAAGCCGTACCCCACGAGGACGCAATCATGCATACAATATGCATACTTATGCATACTCTCCTAAAAAAAAAAAAAAACCGGGGGGTGCAACACCCCTCGGCCCCGGCTGGCACCAAGTGCCCCCGCCTGTTTGTGTTCCACACACAAATGAAACCCTTCCCAGGAACGCTTTCCGCGCCATCCCCCAAGGGGAGGCAGGCAACGGACCATGTCCCGGGCCCAGGATTCGACTTCCAAAAACGAAACGCTCCCCGTGCTATCCCCCAAGGGGAAGCAGGCAACAGACCATGTCTCGGGCTGAGGGGACGACTTTCAAAACCGATGCGCTTTCCGTGCTATCTCCCAAGGGTAAGCAGGCAACAGACGATGTCTCGGGCCGAGGAAACGACCCTCAAACCCTTCGGGATATCGGAAGGTCATTCCCGAAGGGGGAGCCAACGGTTTATTCCGTCGCCTCCCATATAGGCCAAGCCTTTCCGAGAAACCAAGTTTCTAGATGCCCCTCCTATATCATTAGAAAAAAAAAAAGATGTGTAGGGGGGAAGGAACTCCCCGGATACTATTCTCCCCGGAGGCTCAACACTTCGGATATATATTCCAGAAGGCTCCTACAAAGGCACAAGAAAATCTCTCAACAACAAGTCATCTGGCTACATAGCCAAAGGCCTCACTACATGAAGCCTTGGAGTACAAGAATTCCCCCGAGGACCCAAGAAGAGGGCTCACTGTGAAAAATTCACCTAAATTTGGCTAAGTCCAAAATTTGGCTGGACCAAAGCCAACCCTGCTTCATGACGAAGGCTGCACAAAGTCTAACAACATCTGCCAGGAGCCGAGGGCTCCGCGGCGAAGGCGGAATGTTACCCAAATCACTCAATGATGACAATTTCGAGTTGACACTTAGAATTTTATCTAAGTCCACAAGCTCATGGCCTTCGGAAAAACGGGCTAAAGGAAAAGGAACAAGTGCTCATAAACAAGTGAAAGCAAACGAGGGCATACAATAAAAGAAAACCGGAGGCATCCATTGAGAAAGGGCCCGAAGGCAAATCATTCATCACCAAAAACTAATATTCAAGTACCAAAGATGTTTCTTTACATACTAAGGCCGAAGCCGATAGCTGACGTGAGTATTACATCAAAAATGCTACAAGAATTCTAAGTATCAGCAGTTGGGGCCCCCTCCCCGGCAGCTTTAGAAGTAGCATCATCGCCAGTCTCTTCCTCGTCTCCGCCGCATTCCTGCAACAGCAAAGAGTCTCGGAGGATGGGCCTCTCCACGCCTTCAGGTAGGGGTACCCTAACGTCTGGTTGGAGCGGGGACAGGCCGAATGAATCAGGGTTGAAATCCTTCAAGTCAATGCCTTGATGCGCGGCTAGCTTCCGGTAGATCAGACGTTGGGTAAAGAACTCCCCCCTGCCAATACTCGTTACCCTTCAGCGCTAACCATTCAGAGCCGGGGCCCTTGACCCATTCATCAACCTCGGCGCCGACGACGAGATCCCTCCAAGCTTTGCGCTCCCCATCCTTCCACCCTTCGGCAATGAAGGAAGCGACAGCCTGGGAAACAGCCTCAGCCTTCGCGCTTTCAGCTTCCTCAGCCGTCTTCTTAGCAGCCTCGGCCGCAACTTTCTCAGCGTCTGGTTTTCCCTCAGCTTTGGCCTCCTCGAGCTTTTGAGCCACACACTCCCTCTCGA